GGTATCTAGATATAAACGAAAGAAAAAAAAATCAGGAATAATTACTGCAGATGTAGATGTTTACGCGAGTGGGAAGTACTGTTATTCTCCAGTGGAAGACAATGCCTTTTTGAATTGACTCTGATGTATTTATAATTGTAGGTTTGACATTTGCCGCTCTAGACAATTTATCCAGGCTAAATAAACTAGTTTACATACATTTCACTAATTCTAGGCTGAGTGTATCAATTGACCCAATGGTAATACCAATGGGTATTTGTAATGAGCATGAAATAGTAAGAAAAAACTAATTTTTTAACGTTTGCCTATTTAGAGCGAATTAAAAGAACTCTATTCATCTTTTAAAATCAAACTTAAAAACAACATGGGAAACTATGAAATTAATCGAAAAAAGCTTGATTAATTAATTGAACAAGATTTTTTTTTTTAACGAGGGTTCGCAACAGCAGAGTTATATCAACCCTCGGGGTGCCGGTGTTTTTGAATAAAAGCCCATTTGTAAGTATGTCGAGTTCGAATGCAGGGCCGCTGGATTCGAACCCGGGACCTTTACATTACAGTGATGAGCGCCGTGTCAACGCCTAAACCCTTGCGGCCACCGACGCCCCTTAAGATTGATGTTTTAGATGCTGAATGAAAAGTTTTCAAATTTCAACATGTCTTTAAAGGTTCATAAGATGTTGGGCTTTAAGGATTCATTGGAAAAGTAAATTTAATCAAAATTTTGCTCTTAGTACATACATTTTCCCCCAATTTAAAAATTTAGTTAATAAAATTCTTAACAATTAAAAAATGATCGATGAAGAATGGTAGTAAGATTGCCTGTTCCCTGTAAATTTTTATTGCTGTTTTGATTATTTTGTCAATTAAATTGTTCAGTTCATTTTGTCTCTTGTACAAACGGAAATACTATGCGAGAAATAATCAGTAAAAAAGACCATGTTTTAGTCTTAACGCTTAAAAATAAAAGTTCGACCTTTAACCGATACGTGTGTTATCTCCAACACTCCCTCAATTGTCTTATTTGCATTGTCCCTTGTTAGCCCCACAATTTTCATGTTATTTTAAAACAATATTTTACAAAAATAATCAACCAGATGAAGTTAGGACCGAACCAAATTTATCAAAATTTCATTGGCTTAGTTTATATTTTGTTTCAAAGCCTCAAATTTTGTTTATCTAAATTTGAATCTATTGGCTTGTTATTTTTCTTTATGTTGTAACCAGAGGTGGCAATAAAGTATGAAACATTAGTGTGCTTAACTTGCTTTTTTTTTTTTTAAATCAGTAATTATGTTTAAACTTTTTAAAAATTAATTAGGGGAGTTGTACATCGCGATTGCCCAGAATGCTTCGAACATAATGGTTAATTATTGAAAATAAAGCTCAGCACTGTTTTCGTTTCATAATTCTAATGTGTCTACATGTACTCATTCTTAATGACTCTCATAATATTGAAATTAAATGTAGCAAACTTAATTTTTTTTTTTTAACGAGGGTTCGCAATTGCAGAGGTTATATATTATATACCCTCGGGGTGCCGGTGTTTTAGAAAAAAAAGCCCATTTGTAAGTATGTCAGGTTCGAATGCAGGGCAGCTGGATTCGAACCCGGGGCCTTTACCTTACAGTGATGAGCGCCGTGTCAACGCATAAACCGTTGCGGCCACAGACGCGCTTATTAAATTTGTTTGATTTATATTGATTTTTGGTATCTCTCGAACTGGGCCAAGGTGTGAACTAAGCATGCATTTCTTTGTGCCTTGATTAAATTTTTTACAGAATTGTTTTTTAAAATAATTTTAGAATTGGCCGAATATACTAAAATACAGGAGAAATAGCCTGCTAATATTTTTAAAAATATACAATAATATAGTACAGTACACTTTTTTAAAATATTGGGGGAAGAAAAACGTCGCTTTGTTCTAGGATGATCCGAAAATAATGCTTAATTATTGAAAATAAAGCTCAGCATTATATTCGATTCATTATTCTAATGGGTCTACATGTATTCATTCTTAATTACTCTCATAATTGAAATAAAATGTAATCGACTTGTTTTAATTTGTCTGCTTTGTGTGGTATCTTTCAAATTGGACCAAGGTATAAACTAAGCATGCATTTCTTTGTGCTTTGATTGTTTTTTTTTTTAATAATTTTAGAATTGGCAAAAGATACTAAAATAAGGGAGAAATAGTCATTTAATATTTTTTTAAATTATACAATAATATAGTACAGTACTTTCTTTAAAATATGGGGGAAGAAAAACGTCGCGATGTTCTAGGATGATCCGAAAATAATGCTTAATTATTGAAAATAAAATTCAATTAATTAAGGTTTTAAGTTGTCATAAAAAAGTCAGTATCACGAGCGGGATTCGAACCCACGACCTTCGGCTTGATACGCCGCTACTCTGCCACTTGAGCTATCGTGACATCCATCCCCGGGGCACTAACTTTCCATCTCAACCCCACCTTCGAATTTTCCCTCCTTTTTGCCATTTTTTTTCTCAACTTAAAACCTTAATTACTTGAATGTTATTAATTGGTCTAGCGGAGCACGAAAAATAGTGAATTTAATGATTTCAAATGAAGTATACGTCACTAAAGCTCTCCGAGGCCATTTCATTTGTCGCCGAGAATCAAACATATTACACGACATTTGAAAAATGGCAAAAAGGTGGGCTGAGATGGGTAGTTGGTGCCCGAGTGGATCGAAGTCACGATAGCTCAAGTGGTAGAGTAGCGGCGTATCAAGCCGAAGGTCGTGGGTTCGAATCCCGCTCGTGATACTGACTTCTTTATCTCAACTTAAAACCTTAATTAATTGAATTGTATTAATTGGTCAAGCCGACCACGAAAAATAGTGAAATTATTGAAAATAAAGCTCAACAATGTTTTCGTTTCATAATTCTAATGTGTCTACATGTGCTCATTCTTAATTACCCTCATAATTGAAATTAAATGTAACCAACTTAGTTAAATTTGTCTGCTTTACATGTTATCTTGCAAAATTGGACCAAGGTATAAACTAAGCATGCTTTTTTTGTGCTTTTATTAAATATTTTACAGAATTGTATTTTTAAATAATTTTAGAATTGGCCAAATATACTAAAATAAGGGAGAGTCATTTAATATTTTTTAATTTATATAATGATATAGTACAGCATATTTTCTTTAAAATATTGGAAGAGAAAAACGTCACGATGTTCTAGGATGATCCGAAAATAATGCTTAATTATTGAAAATAAAGCCCACGCATTGCTTTGATTTCATAATTTTATTGTGCCTATATATTACTCCTTCGTAGCTGCTCTCATAATTGAGATTAACTGTAACAAATTTAGTTAAATTTGTTTATATTCGTTTTTGGTAATAATCAACTTGAACCCAGGTAGGAACTAAGTATACTTTTTTTGTGATTTGATGAAATCCTACAGAATTCTCTTTGGTTTGTAAATAATTTCAGAATGGAAAGAAATTATGTAGAATTATGTTGTAATGTCAAAATATTGTAAAAGTAGGTTTTTACATTTATTTTTGTTATGTTGCTCGTGAGCTTAACCATTTAAAGTCGACTGAGAAGGAATAGAAAACCCAAATTAAAACTAAAAGTAAAACAGAAGAATGCAGATAATACAATACCCTTTGTTTGACCTCAATAGTAATTCTTATGCCTTAAATTATTAATTTTTTTAAAGCGACTCACGCTGCGTTGCTCAATGGTTGATAGACAGTGTTGTAGCCGAGCGGCCCAGTAGGCCCGCCACCATTAATCATTCCAGAAACAAATGGAAGAAAGGAGTTTCAGACCAAATCATTATAAATATGACTTTTTTTTTCTTATAAACAAGAATAGATTGTTTCCTTTTGAGCTGCCCCCTCCGGGCAAAAAGCGCTCGCCCTACAAAGACCGGCCGTCAAGTCCCTACCGGGGTCTTTTTGTGATACAAAATCTCAAGGACTCCTAGGGCTTTTTTCAAAAAGCTGATTGTAATCCCGGCCAACTCTTTCGTGCCATTATCCGAATTGAATAAGTGAAGTCGGGGGTTTCAATTAGCGGAGCTTTTTTGCTTTCTCGCCCGTTTCAGAAGTCTCTGGATGCAGGTGCATCCTAAGGCGGAATTATCATTACTCCATCGTTAGAAACTCTAAACGATCTTGATCTTTATTTAATGGTTTCTCTACCTAACCCCTTGCGATACCCCGACACACGTTCTAAATGATACAACGTTGTAAATATGAAATTCCAAGGTCGACAACAATTTCGGCATAGACGTGGGCTTTTTCTCCAAAATTATTTACACGACCGAGAGGGCCTAATGAACCTTCGCATTTTCCTGTTTCTCGCGTTATTTATAAACTTAGCCACAAATTACCCGGCAAGGTGAACCACCACGGGATACTTTAACTTGTAAATTTCTCTTAAAGTATTATCGGTTTTTCATAGAGCAATCTGTCAAAATTAGATATAGAAATCGTTTTATTTTCAAGGTCTTACTAAATTTAAGCTGGCAAGTGCAATAAGTGGAAAGCCACTAGGAACTAACGAGTCGAACAAACAAAAAAACTATCGAAAGATAATAGTGATCAAATTATTATATAAGCACTCTTTCACACAGTTAGCACAACAAAAAAGAATCATTCCAACCTAACTTGAAACTAATGGGATTCTTTAGCAGGAAGGACAGCATGGTAGAAGTGTTTACATACTTGAAACCTTCCATGTACATACTCAAATAAATTTATAGTTTCTTTAAAAAATTATGCACCAACTTTGCCCAGTGAACTTTGTGAAACACTTTTCTCTCTATTTTCATATCGGAATTGTTATTATTCAGACGTCCTATTTTGTTTTATTTACTAATTCTTTTTAAATTAATAAACGGGTTATTCTTTAAATTTTTTTATATTGCAATAAAAATAACTGAGATTAGGCACGAACCTTAATATTTTTAAACTGATCATGCAGTGACAACAAGAAAATGAACAAAAAAAGTACCTGATGAAAAGTTTGCGATGGGAACGTTGTTCGTAATTGATTCTGCGACTTCGGCACTGTTTAAACCGTAAATTTCCAACAGTTCTTTCATTGTGTTTTGAGCGTACTCCCTGAGATCGGAAGCGTCGGTCGGCTGATGGTGTAAGAAATCTTGCTGTAGGAAGTACTGGTGGGATGGCTGGTCGTTGTAGTGTCCGGCCCACTTGCTTCCTTCGCTGTCCGAACTGTCGTCGAAATCGCTGTGCTCTTCCTCTTTTCTGTTGGGTTTCGAGCTGAGGTCCATGGGTGCCGGTTCGTCCGTGCTGCATCTCATCCTCTTGGTCTCGGGAGCGCTGTTGGAATCGAAACTACTCAGGTCCAAGGCGTACTCCTCGTTTTCGTTTCTGCTGAGGGAGAGAGGCGCCTCCTCGCAGTAGGTGATATTCCTCGGTTGGAAGTTTTTCCGTTTGTTACGCTTCGTCTGCTGAAAGGAGCGGATCAGCATAGGAGTTTCGATGTCGGAGTCGTCCGACATGGTGTCCACTCCGTTCATCGACAACCGGCTCCCACCAAGGAACATCGACTCGGTCTCCGCCATGTTCACCATGGAAATGCCTGAAAAAACAAAACAATATATTAATAACTTTTAGACAGATAAGTCACAATCATGAAACATTGTCCTACTATCACTAATTTAAAAAAAATCACAGATCAATTTTTTCTTAAAGGATGGTAACTCGTAAAAAGGTCGTTTTCGAATTATTAGACTAGGTCATGAGATGATTTTGTGATGTAAGTTTCTTGCAGACTGTCGCATATTGGTAAATCCGCGATGTTGCAGCCCCACCCTTCTCACTTTCCTGCGAATCTCTATCCCCCCTCAGGGCCTTTTGTGTAGTTTTTGGGTGCACTTACTATTGGTTACCCCGCTGGAAAGGTGGAGCTACCCCTATTGTGCAGGTTCCGAAGGGTGTTTTAGGGGAAATTTCGACAGAAACGCTCTCTAGATTCAAACAATTCCAGATTTTAACCAGTTGGGCGCCGTCCGGCGAAGGATTCGGACGTATTTCTTGCATCTCCCGGTGATTTTTTTTGTGATTGTTGCGTGTTGGTGAATCAAGTCTGCAGAAAAATGCCCAACAAGTCCGGGTCGCGGGTTTGAATTACAAGGACTCTGAAAGACCGGTGCCCTTTTATAGACTTCGGACTGCTTGGCGCGGCTTAAAAAAGTCACGAGCCGGTGAAATGAATTTGGAAATCTCCGAGTGGACTGCCCTCGGTCTACAGCGAAGTATCTTCACTTATTGTCGACCCGTTTTTGTTATTCCGTTCGGATTCGACGAAGGATCCGGGTCATACGGACCGCCCGATTAAGGAAATCGTCGCTTCTGAGAAGACGACAGTTTTATTGAACTTGACAATGTAAGTTATACAAAAAGAGAACCGAATTAAAAGAGACGGATAACTGGAATCGAACAATGAGAAGCCGTAAGCGGATCTGTCGGAAACAAAAGGCTCATTGTTTCTGTATAAGTTGAAAACACTGAACGCGTTATTTTCATGGGCGTCGGTCGGGGGTGGTCCATTGAATCCAAATTCGAAATGGACCCATGGTAGAACTCTACTTTTCAATTTACATTGCATTTGTAAGAAATCAACATTTCAATCAATTAATTGGACATTAAAAGGAGGGAAAATTCGAAAGGTACGCTAAAGTGGGAAGATGGTGTCCAAGCGGATCGAAGTCATGATAGCTCAAGTGGTAGAGCAGCGGCGTAAATTCGAATATCAGAATCGAATCCTGATTACACGACATTTGAAAAATGGCAAAAAGGAGGGAAAATTCCGAAGGTAGGTTGAGATGGGAAGTTGGTGTCCGTGCGGATCGAAGTCATGATAGCTCAAGTGGTAGAGCAGCGGCGTATTTAGCCGAAGGTCGTGTGTTCGAATCCCGCTTGTGACACTAACTTTTTCATTTCAAGCAATACCTTACATAACGATTTATTAATCGAAAGAAGTTATTTGGTCAATCGGACCACGAAATATAATGGATTTAATAAGTAAAACGAAGTATATCTTCACTAAAGCTGTCCGTGGCCATTTCAGTTGTCTTCGAGAATCGAATCCTGATTACTCGAATTTGAAAAATGGCAAAAAGGAGAGAAAATTCCGAAGGTAGGTTGAGATGGGAAGTTGGTTCCGAGTGGATCGAAGTCATGATAGCTCATGTGGTAGAGCGGCGTATTTAGCCGATGGTCGTCGGTTCGAATCCCGCTCGTGACACTGACTTTTTTATCTCAACCAATACCTCACATAAAGATTAATTAATTGAAAGAAGTTAATTAGTCAATCAGACCACGAAATATAATGAATTTCAATCAATATTGGGGCAATCTTTGCCCATTATCTTCTTGAAAAAGTGATTTTGAAAACTGTTCTTCTATAGTGTTGTTTTGAAGGATTGCAAATTTTTAAGAATGGTAATGGTATAAACAATTGTATTTTGATTAAACATATATATTCTCATCTCGATTTTATTGAAGAAAATTGAGAAATCGGATCGTAATTTCGTCTCTACCAACCTTGACACGAAAAGGCTTCAATAGCCATTGTTAGACGGTCTTAATTAAAAATTGATGGTTGCGTCTAGAACGACGGCATCAAAGTACGTCAAAAAAAATTATCCCAAGGCCGAAATTATTGGAACGGAGACGCCGTAATTAATCCATAATCAACATATATGAGTATTTGAGGTTTTCGGTCGTAATCAAAGTTGACGAGGGTTGTTGGCAGTTCAGGGGGTAAAAAGACGAAATATCCGAGGGTCTTTGAACGAGTCCACGACGTCCGGACGGGCAGGCTCGTCTCGGCTGTTTAAGCCCCGATTGACAAAACACTCCGGGAACCCCCTTCTTCGACCGGTCCGACAACTCCTCAATAATTTGTCAACTTATCTTAATGTCTTTTTTCCTGGCCGTTTTCCCCTCCCGATCGAACTCTGGCCCATTCCTGGCCGTCTATTGTACCCTCAGACGGAACCCCTCCGCTACCGGAATACTATCGGGACATTTTCATGCATATTAATAGCATCAATTTATTTCTCGACACGTATTTATGCTGTTTCAGGCGTTATACTTTATTAATTATCCAGGGCTCCTTCTTTATTAATATTATGAACTAGTTGGAATTCATTTGAAAGCGTCCATAATACTTTTTTTTGTAGGTCGTTATTTATAACTGAAAAAAACATCGCCCAATTTTAATTTAATATATTTTTTTATTTATCATAATTTACTTTATACCTTTCCATTCCATTTCCATAAATAGATGATAAAACAACCAATACCTCATAATTTTGCTTATCGTATAAATAAATTCTGCTGTATTCTGTAAAAAAATTAAAGTTAAAACTTAAAAAGATAAAACGTCCTTACACCATTTGTTATAAACGAAAATAATCAATTAATTCAAAAATTGTTGCATTTATGGCTTCTTTTTATTTTTGTTATAATTTTTTACATGTATACATGTTATAAATAATATATAAAATGTATTTGCGTACATGTACAAAAAAAACAATTACATAATTAATATATAATTAATCACTTTTAAATTTTATAAAAATTTATTTATTTTCTGATTTCCCCCTTTTACTATCCTTCTTTTCTTCCATCAAGAACAATCTATAGTGTTAATTACAATTTTAATAATGTTCATAGAGATTTAGTCAAATATTTTTTTTTCATGAAATCAGATCTTTGTGCTTACGTTCTAAAAGGATGAAAATTATGTAGCAATCAATTCTTATAGAAATTTTGGCAATTCTTTGAGTAAAATAAATTTACAGGAATAATCTGGATCTCAGTATGGTCTGGAGCCAAAAAGAGATTGATTTATTATCTACTAAGCTTTCGATCTATTTTAGGAATCTTAAAGATGTCGACAAATTGACATAATTGTACACATAACTTCAGTGTACCTTGAAGATGTTGGGTCAGAGTCGGTCTTAAATAAATTTAGAGCCCGCCATTAAAAATTTAATTATGCCCTGATAATGACCTTGAAATAGGTCTAATGCTTGGCAGAATTGGCTTATTCATCCAGACCATACCGAGATCCAGATTATTCATGAGTAAAAACTTGTCGATATATCTACTACATTAAACATAAAATATACTGATCTTATGATGACAATATTATCCATTTATTAGTACGTATAATGGGACCACGAAGGTGTGTTTAGAGCTTGAATTTGTCGCCCTAGCGGTTTTGGGTTCGAATGCCGGCGTAGCCAATGGAATTTCGGTATGCTCGCTCGTCCGCAACACCCAACGTTAAGAACGAAATATGACAGGAATTACTTAACTTATTACTTAGAAACTAGCAGGTTTTGTCCAAATCAAAAAATGAACTCATGACTCGAGTTAATATTTTCATATTATTTTATTCCTGAATCAAATTCAGGATGATTTTCGACCTTTGGAAAGATTTCAACTCATTTTTGATTACAAATAAGACAATTATTTTTCAACGGATGGCGATGCGAGTCATTTGTCCGAATATCGTTAGAAACATTTTAGCATGTAAAGGTGTACACAGTTGAAAAGATCCTTTTTAAATAACTCTGATTCTGTTATTTCCACTAAAAACCACAACCTAACCACTAAAATTTTGGTATGAAAAGAAAATAATAAAATTTAACCTACTTTTTTTTCAAGATGTAATACGCTTCCATTACCGCAAGATTCTTCTAAACCAAACCATCATAAATCCTCTAATCAAGAAACTCTCATCCCGACGAATTCCATCCAACCTTCCTCGACTAAATTGGCGATGGCCGGGGTGACAGTGACATTTCTAATGACACAAGTCTTAATTAAGTAGACAACATTGTTGGCATCACTGGAGTACTGCCAAAGGGTAGATTCGTCACTCCTGTTTTTTAATTATACATAAATCTTTTCTCAATGCCTCAAAATATGAATAATCTATCACGACGAAATTTAAATGAATTTGCGATAGAATATAACATTTTAAAGAAAAATTTGATTTAAGACGTTTGTTTTTTAGAAGATGTTCGTCATTGTTCTGCTATACTGACATTAAAATTTACAATATTTTGATCATACTTAAAAGTTCGAAGGAAAATGACTCGGTGATAAAATATATTGTTACTTGTTTATCTTTCAATGTTTTTTAAACTTTTTAAACATAAAGATAATGAAAAATCGCTTGTTTACTCATGTGCCACTTAAGAATGTGGTTTATCGTCTTATAAACGATGAATTTTCCCCCCTTTCGGAACTTCGGAATCTAAAAACCTTATCCTTGAGAAATTTCCATTTTTTTCTCTCTTCTTTCTGTAGATTTACGTAATTTTATACTTGGGTGTTACAATCACATTTTCAGCATTTAAAGTGGGGCGGCAGAGCGCGTCTAACTGCCTTCAGCCCTATCATTACAGCTAACACCGTTAATAAACAGCACTTTTCCCTTAACAATTCCCGTTTATTAAGCCGGAATTTTTCAAATATTATCATTTCATTTTATCATGAACATGAACATAAACATGATATGTATATTATATGTGTGTTTGTGTGTGTTTGATTTTGTGA